TCCTAAATATCTAAACAAACAAAAAATTTGATGCATACAAATAAAAACATGCCAGAAGAAACTGTACTCAAATATTAACAGTAGTTAATTCCTATAGTACTCTATATTAATTATATAACTTAAAAAATATTTGTTAAATGAAAATAAAAGGAGTACTACCCCTTAGTGCCAATGGTATAATGATGGTGAATAAAATGGAGAAAGAAAATTTATGACTCAATGTCTTTCCCTCACTTAGAGAACCTTAAAACAAGATAACTATTTTTAAATGGACAAGGCAGATAAGTTGGTGAGTTTGACATTAATTCTAAGCAAGATTCTAAAATGAGTTCTTTAATGGAACTTTGTATAAACCTAAAAAAGGAAACCATCAGTCAGCAGGAACATCATGGAGTCACTCAGTCATTTTAGACCATTTGTACTTCCTTTCTTTCTCCGATAAGCTATTTGGAGGGGTATTAGAGGATGGACTCATAAACTGGTAAATGAAACCAAACAGAGAGAACAAGTACATCTGCTATCAGGGCCAAGATCCTGAGAGATGAAAGTAAATAGCTTAAGTCACTAAAAATTTTCATGCCTCTAATTTAGTTTATTTCTTGGTTGAGATAAAAGATAGGGTAATAGGAGGCAAGCACATTATTAAATAGTAGAAGGTACCAAACTGAGAGAAATAGCAAATGTATATCAGAATCTAAAACAGAGTAAGGGATTAAACAATAGTTTAAGCCTAACAAAACAATATTTAACATAGATAGGGTAAGATAGATATTGTATTATAATTTAAGATTAACTACTGATAGATACTGGATTTCTTTGGGAGAAAAGAAAATGTTCTGGAACTGAATAGCTGTGGTGGTTGCACAACTTTGTAAATTCTGAAACCACTGAATTTTAAACTTCAATGTGATAAAAATGGTGAATTTTACGTTATCTCATTACATTTTGTGATTACACATATGCTTGTAATTTTGCGACACTCATACACCAATACTACATAAGATATATTGACCTCCACAAATACTTCACACTAATATTGTTAAAGAATTCACAATAATGTCAAATCATGGGTGCAATGTACACTAACAAAAATTCTTTAAAATGAAGTACCAAAATCAGTAATTATTCATTCCTTTGATTTTTAATTTATTTGCCACATGCTTACTTGGTACCAGGCACTGTGTTAAGAACTGTAGATACGGGGTGAATACAACCCTCACCCTCAGAGAGCTTCCAGTAAGAAGAGGACTTAATATTAAATAACTATCACTCCAATAAACACAATAACTGTAATGTGGAACATAAAGGGAAAATAAACTTCTATGATAAAATATGACAGGCAGGTCTGATGAAGATAGGATAGCTTCTCTGAGGAAATTGCATTTAATTTGAAACTAGAATTTGAGGTATGAAGACAGAGGATTAGTATTCCCTCAGATGTAACAACAGTACACAAGTCCCAAGGTAGAAGAGAACCTGCACCTTTGAGAAGCCCACAAAGGCCATTTGTGATCAGAGAACAGACAGTAAGTAAAAAAGAAGATGGTCACAAAAGGAAGCTAGAAAAATAAGAAGGGATCAGTCTACACAGGGTCCTATGGGCCTCTTGAAGACACTTACTTTGTACAAAGAAAAGCCACCGAAGAATTTTAGCAGAGAAGCAATATATGATCAATCTGGATCATAAAAGCAACATCCAGACCCCTCTGTGGAAAAGGGATTAGAGAGGAGCAAAAGGTTAAATTAGGAGCCCACTTAAGAGGCTCTTAGAGTAACATTTCAGACTTGGGTGTGGTGGTAGAAAAGAAGACATTTTGAAGATCTGTATTAATGATTATCACAAATTCTGTTTCATAACTCCAATTTACAGATGTGAGGATATGCTTTCCAAAGAAAGTTTATTTATCCAGGATCCCAGACAGATTAGCATCCATCCAAAACCAAACTAAGGTCCACAAACACTTCCAATTATCTCTAGGAGCTCTGAAGTCTTTTCATATAACTAGATAGTATCTGAACTCAAATTATTCCTAAGCTTCTAGCAGAATAATTTCTTACTGGAAAGTTTTCAGAGTATTAAATGAAGCCAGACAGTGAAGTAGGAACCTAAAAGTACACTACAAAGAGTGCAGGTAGCACTTGGTGTTTTCACTTAAACCCAACAAGAAATAAGCTTGTCCTTTGAAAATGATTTTGCCTATAGAGGAATCATTCTGGGAGATGAGTACTCTGCTTAGCACATGGTATTCAAGGCTTCAGTTAAACACACACACACACACACACACACACACACACACACACACACACGAAGAGATATGTGCAAAGCTTTCCAAATTATTCATGTGCCTGTGTCTCCTTAAACTGCACTCCAGAGACTGGAGCAAAATAAAGAGACTGTGATGGCTACTATATAGCTTTTGAAGACTAAATGAATGCTTTGCATTGTAATAGGAAAGCAACTGTACGTTACACACGCATACATTTCTTTTCCTCTTAAATAAAATCCTGCAATCCCCATGGTAAATATTGCTCCAAATCCATGATAGATCACATAAACCCAGACAGGGAAAAAAGAATGCCTTCCAGAAAAAGCAGATTACTTAGCTAGGATCTCAGACACTAACATCAACCCAGTACAAACCCAAGACATGAAATCAAAGGAAAACTGTCTATTCAATTCTCTCAGGGTATGATGGGAGCAAACAACAAAGATGCATATGATCATTTGACAACTTTACATTTTATAACACATGCTCTGAAAGTAATCTTGTTCTCTTTTTCATTTAGATGGTGAAAATTAATTTTGGACTAAAAAATGTAAATCTAAAGGAGGGTGTTGTTTAACACAAGGGATCTTTAATTTTTACCAGTGTTATTGTTTTTAGCTTCTTTGAGATTTCGACTTCTTTGTAATTATTTATTAGTATATAATATATAGGTATATGTATGTATGTATACACACACACACACACACACACACACACACACACACACACACTCCTACACGGTTGCTGGCTCAAATGTTCCTGGCCTTCCCTGACTCCTCCCATGTTCACTCTCAGCTCTTCTAAGCAAGTTTTCCTCACCCTTGATGGTAGAGCTGATCTTTTATCCATTCTCCCCTCTCTACCTACTGTATCTTGTACATTTTTCCATCATGCAGTGGCATTTACAAGTGGCTCCCCTTCCAATCTGTGAGTCCCCTGGCCCTTAACACCAAGCATGATACATGAAAGATTCTCAAATGCTTGTGGAATGAAATGAGAGAATAGATAAATCTCATCTCCCCACCTGTGTAATTTTATATTTATTTCCCTGCAATACCCTATATGTTAACCATTCCCCAATTCAGAGACACTTCAGATAAGTCTACCTCACCACCACCAATTTCTTTCCATTTCTTTATAGAAGGGGATTTCTAACTTGAAGTACTACACTGTTTGAAGGGTGTTTATGAAATCAATTTTAAGAATAATCCGATTTACACATCAGATTTTATGCATGATGAATGTGAATATGGACTAGAAAAGGTCTTTACTCCCCAATATTTATATTCTATAGGAAAACGATATCCAATGCCATGTTGCCCATTCATTCCTGCTTCTGACATTCTTATCACATACAATTCTTATAAAGGGCCTTCTTCCTCATTAAAGAAGAAGAGATGTCCTTGGCAAGGGCAGAGTGAATCCATGAGTTAAATTTGTCATTTTGGAATAAATTATTTAGTACCACTTAAACCCTGAAAGCTTTGAACCACCTATCTTGTGGTTTATGGCACTGTCTTCTAAGTTTACAATTTCCTGACTGTGAAGCAACAATTTCATTCTGTAGTGCAAAATCAATGCAATGTAAATATACTATAGGAACTAACATTCTCTAGCAAAGTAAAAGATTTATTCTTTCACTGGCATGCGACAATTTTAAACAGGCTTTTAGAAATAAATACTCAGGAACCATTCTACAATTTAGGAATAAAGTTTTCTTGCTGAATATAAAGCAAACTAACTGTCTCCCTCTTTCCATGAAATGAGCCATATTCCTGAAGCCACCTGAGCTCTCTGTCCACTAATATGAAGAGCTTTGATCTAACTCTATTATGAACCTAGAGTTTGAATAGGAGACCATCCGAGATATAAAGGAGCTGTGGTGGTAGAAACAAGAAACAGCCAATAGGATTTTTAAATGTATTCTCTCACTAGTTCAGGGTTTTCGTTAGGCAGGAATGGCAATCATTTTCATTCTAAATCATATTACCAGTACAACTATGGGTAGGAAGGTTTGGTACTGAGCCAAGGATTCCAGGAAATGTTACTTAACTGTATAATCAGGGACCAGTCACTTGTGTGGAGTGAGTGGCAAAAGGTGGCGTTGTTTAAAATACACCAGTGGATGGATCTATAAACTGCATCCTTCTCCCCAAATAACTAAACAGACTGGAAAGGGCAGGAACACACCCTCAATCAACCTAGGGCAAACACTGATTATCAGCTCTATGAAAGGTCCCTTGAAGCTAGCCTGGGAAGAGTGAGGAGGGTGAGTCTGAAGCTTAAGATTCAACATGCTTTCAAGTGCATCCCCTCCACCTGCATATACCTCCTTTTCCTTCTACTGAAAGGTCTGTCTCCCTTTCAACTCCTCAGGACTGTCAACAGTTTTTAAAATTACATATGAAAAATTTTTAAAGCCTATAGCCAGAAGAGATGGAAACAGTTATCAGCAGTCTGTTAATTGACACACAAGCCGGGTTTCCCTCCTGCCCAACCCCACGTCTACGGAGCACCAAGGACAAGAGGTTAGCTAAAGCTAGGCCTGCGAAACAGCCAGAGAAAGGCCGGCCTCCTAGGGACCGGAGGAGAGATGCTGAAGCGCCGCCTGCTCCTCCCTCGCTCCGCTCGCGGTCCAAGCTTGGCCAGCTCCCTGCAGGGAAGTCGAGCCTCCGGCGCGCTCAGCATCCCTCCTCCTTCTCTCCCTCCTCCGCCCGCGCGGGTGCCACCAACCTTGGGCGTGCGGATGTGCTCCATGGCGGGTCCACGTCTGCAGGGTCCCCGGCGGGCGCGGCCTCACGCACCTGCGCGACTGCAGCGCGGCGGGAGGGGCCCGGGGAGGGGGCTTCGCGCGCGGGAGCACGCGGCGACGAGGCTTCGCTCCGCCTCCAGGTGCGCCGCGCCCGCGCCAGGCCCCCAGTGCTGGACCCGGGGCGCCTGCGCGGTGCTGGGCGCGCGGCTCTGCGCCTTCTCCCACCTACGCGGCCTGAGCTGCTTTCCCCACTCCCTCCGTGGCTGTGGTCGCTGGAGTGAGAGGCGCTCGCTTCCTTTTAAGAGGACCACCCGAAAACCCGGGTGGTGGCGTGCCCGTGATCCCAGCTACTCAGGAGGCTGAGGTGCGGGGGTCGCTGAAGCCCAGTATTGGGCCAGCATGGGGAGCAGAGCAAGACCTTGTCCACAAAAAAAAAAAAAAAGTAGAAAAGAGGGGCAGCCGGCCCCTTAGTACTGTGCATTTACTGTTCCCCAAGACACAATGGGGGCCTTGTGTTGGGTGTGGCCTCTCAGAGGACAGATGGGGAATATGCGCCACTTCGCATCCTCTTTGGCTTCCTTCCAGAGCGTCCTGCGATAGATGGTATTTCACGCGAGGGTAGGAAAAAAAGGACTGCCCCACACAACTGAGGTTGCAGTATGGCCTAGTGGACTCCCTCTCTGTTTTGGCACAGACTCCGCCAGCATAACATTTGGGAAGAGTGGAAATAATAGCAACAGTATTCGCACCCCAGTAAGTGTGCTATTAAATCAGGCATCTCACATCGACCTGCGATTTCACTGTTGGGTCTGTTGCAAGAGACACTTTTCCCTTGGCACTGTATTGGGTGTGTGTTTTTCTCTTCACCTAGCACCAACTGAACTGGAAGCTACAAGGATACAAAGCATCTATTAAGCCACTGGGAAAGCCAAAGAGAAGAAATGACCTCCACCTTCTTTTCTTGTGGCCCTAAGTTTAAAACAGTCCATCATGACCAAAATTTCACAGAATTGGACATAGTTCTTGGAATGACATCTATTCAATTTTTTTTTTGTAGCTCTTACTCATCTGTGTGACACATTATTTGACAGTGGGGAATTTTTTACCTCCCTTTTCAATACCTGATATGCACATTACAGTCTTCCAAAAAAATTGTTTATTTGATACAGAGTTGAGTTTATTTTAAAATTTCCAGATCCTCTTCATTCATCTTGTTTCATCTACAGCTCTAGTACTCTAAACCACAGTTTTCAGATGACAAGAGTGACCTTTTACTAGTATTTATTATGTATTCATGTTCTTTCACTAGAGAGCACCAGGAATAGACTCAAGAGCATTCTGGTCCCAACATTGGCCTCTATCACTCCATTTATTACATGAGAAAATCACACGGCCAGATAATCTTAAATGTAGCTTCCATCTCTAAATTCCATCTTACATGATACAAGAATCATATCTTCTTTGGAGGAAATCATTCTGACTGGGATAATGATCTTAAAATGTGTGCTTTCAAAGCTCTTCTATCCCTCCACTGGTAGGCTAATCAAGAGTTTACTCCATGAGCAATTTTTTCATATAAGTATTATTAGCATAAGTTTAAAACAATTAATTAGCAGTGAGGAGATGAAAATCTGAACAATTTAAGTAGCCTGGCACTAAGAAAAAAAATCACAGGTTAAAAATACATTTTATGTATATCAAAGAAATTCAGTGTGGGTTAAAATGAACCAAGAATTATAATCAAATTATTAAGATAAATTAATATAGAATGACATGGAAATAAGTTGACAATAGGGAAAGAATTTTCTAGAAACAAACATTTTGGTTTGATCTAACTTGTTCCCCAAGGAATCCTTCTCACCTTGTCCCCCATCCTCCATCTTTATGGAGGTATTTAAATCACAAACTATTAGACCCTCAATAGCCACACTGAACTCCCTGGTACTCACACTGTCGTGTATCCCCCAAGCTTCCTGTTTTCCCCAACCACCACCCCACATGCAGAAGAGATGGGGGAAAAGTAGGAAGAATCAGGGGAATTCTTGAGGGAGACACAGTATATTATTGAGATGGTTAACTATATTCATCTTAAGTAGGGGAGAAAAGCAAAATAACCATTTATTTACTCAAGAAACATTGCCTTTATTTAACTGTTGGTCATCATCAGAGTATCATGGCTGATGCTGACAGCTCAAAGAGAGATGAGAGGATACTAAATTCTGTAAATGTGATGTGACTAACATCAAGAAATTAAAAGTAGGCCAACTTAAGATGATGACAAAGCTTGTGGAAATTCCAACAGATGCCTCAAGAAGAATGATCTACTTGTTATATTTTACCTATTACTTAGGAAAAATATCAATGGACAGACTTGGGCTCAGACCCTTATAATGTTTAATATCTGGTGTGCCTGAAATGAACCATAGGGCATTTGAATGAATATTGCATCCAAGTTGGCACCCCAAAATGTTTCCATCTGGCCCAGGTCCAAAAAGAGAATAGGGAGGGAGAGGGAGAGGGAGAAGGAGAGGGAGAGAGAGACAGGAAGGGAAAACGTTATTCTTTCAACTCCACAAAATTTGCAGATAGATCCACACCCAGATTTGTATTAAATCAGCGTATGCCAAATGGGTTGGAAAAACTGTGTTTCTTTAGTATTTGTGAATCCCAGATGGAAAATAAAAGTATTTCAACAAAACTATTTTCACCATCAAACAAAGTATCAGAGTTAACACTGAATTACTTGCATGTTCATCAAACTATTACCCTTGCCAAGGTTGTCCTCGTTTTATCATCAGTGTCCCAGTGTTTTCAGTTATGTGATATATAAATCAATATGTAATTTTCCTGTCCTTTCTGAACATCCCAAGACTACACTTCTCAAACCCCTGACTGTTCGGTGGGGCCATGTGACTAGTTCTAGCCAAGGAACTGTGAGAAGTGGCTTGTGCCTCTTTCTGGGTAACCTCCTGACAGCCTCTGTATAGCCCTTCTGCTCTCTCCTCCCCAGTCTTGATGATCTAGAAATTACATGTTGAGCTTAAAAAGAGAAAAAAGCAGTGAATTTACTCTCAATATATGACGTTACTGTGGCCCAAAGTACTCAGCATTAAATTGAAAAAAGAGGAAAATAGACTGTTTCCTGGGGTCCCCATTGGAAGAGCCACGGCAGACTATTTCATGAGTGAAAACAACACCTTTTTGTTGTTGTTGCATGAATCACTGAGATTTCAAGATTGCTTCAGTATTCTAGTATAGCCTAGCCTATACCAATTTTATAGAGAAGGGGAATTTGAGAGTCAAAACAATAATATTGTCTTTCATGTTTCTGATTTTTAAAAAATATTTATTTTTTAATCGTAGTTAGACACAATACCTTTATTTTAATGTGAGGCTGAGGATCAAACCCAGGGCTTGAACGAGGTACGAGGCAGACACTCTACCACTGAGCCACAACCCCAGCCCCATTTTCTGATTTTTTAAAGGAATTGATAATATCTTTAAAGAGCTCTGAGGACACTTGCCAGAGCAAGACCTAAACTGCATTGTTGTGCTTTACCAAACATCTTCTAGAAAACATCTTAAGAAAAATGTACTACATAGATATTTCAGCTGCAAATAATATTGCTAGACGAAATTAAAAAAAAATAAAACCTTGATATTAACTGGGAACTTTTCTAAAATCTTGAGATCTTTAGTGGCCTGAAGAGATTTGGAAACTTATCAAACTTAGCAAGACTTTTTATGAAATACTTACATTTCTCCAAAGAAAGCTCAAAACATCTGATCTTGCAGGAAAGCCAAAAAGTGCTTCCTTGGAGGGTGGTATTGCTAATGGTTACAAATTCAATAAAATCCTACTAAGCAGTATTAAACCCTAGTGGTCCTGCTACATATGGAGGAAGGTACCCATTTTCAAACAAGCCCAGCCTCCTTTAGAAGTGTATTAGATGCCCAGTATGTCAAAGTCAGAGATACATTCAGGGTTCTCCCTGATTGAAAAAAACAGCATACTCAACTTCAGGAGTCTTATGCACCCAATGATGCAAAACATCAATGTCTTCTTTGGCTTGCCTTGTGCCAAAGATGTTGAGAAAAATTACTCAGTGGATTGTAGACAGCTCTGCCCTTTTTCCAGAAACCAAAAAAAGAAACTCTTGGGCGGCCAAAAAGAACGTTTACTCTGTGAACAGGCAGGGTTTTTAAATAGACTCCTTTATTTTGTTCTCCCTCCAGGAAGACTCCACTGTTCAAGCCCAAGTCTATGTCCTCAGGCCAGTCATTGTTACTTGTTCCCTTTCTACTCCCATCCCTTCAACTGTCACTTTGATGCAGATAATTCTCTTATGATGTTTGCAGTTCTGAATTCTCTCCCTGTATCACATGTTATAGTTAAGTACTATACTTAACTATATCTACTTGGATAACCCGTGAGTAAATCCACTTATCACAAACCAGGTGTAGTTACAAAAATGGGCTATGGAGGGGCTGGAATCATGGCTCAGCGGTAGAGCACTTGCGTAGTATGGGCGGGACCCGAGTTTGATCCACAGCACCACATACAAATAAAGGCATTGTGCCCATCTACACCCCCAAAAATAAATTTTTTTTAAAAAAATGGACTATGGAGGCAGACAGACCTATATTCAAGTCAACCCTGACAGATACTAGCTGTGGGACCTTGACCATGTTATCTTATTACCCTCAGTTTCAGCCTTCTCACCTATACAATGGAGATAAGGATAATGCTATGGACTGAATGTTTGTGTTCCCCCAAAATGCCCATACTGAAATCCAAATCCCCAGGGCAATGGATTAGGAGGTGGAACTTCTGAAAGGAGGAAACTCTAGAATGAATAGAATTAGGGCCTCTGAGAGACCTGTACTCTCTCCAACATAGAGGTCAGAATGAAAAGACAGCCATCTGTAAACCAGGAAGCAGGTCTTCACCAGACATTGAATCATCCCACACCTTGATCTTTACCTTCCCAGCCTCCAGCCCTGTGAGTAATCAATTTCTGATGTTTACAAGGCACTCAGTTTATACTATTTTGTTATTAAAGTCCAAACTGATTAAGACAGGTGATACTATAATGCTTTGTCTCTCAGGCTGAGCCATAGATGTGTTCAT